TCGTTTTTTGGTTTGGGGGGTGGGGGGGGGGCAGGAAATAGAGAGGTATAGGGCATAGGGCAGATATCAAGCAGGGCCAACTGAAACAGTAGCTAGGATGGGCAAATATTGGATGGAGGGAACGGACGTTCGGGGATGACTTCTGTTTCTAATGCATTTTTACTTGCTGATGGTGTATCTTCATTTTCTTCTCTTTGTAAATTGTAGTTCCTTTTTCACTTTCCTAAGATTCTTTGGTTTCTTTTTCAGTCTCTTCTTTTTCCAAACTTTCTTTGAATCTGTGTAGTAGGCAAATAAACACATGTACCTGCACGGAATTCTGGTCCCGGCCCCCAACTTCATGGGTCCTCAACTAGACACCTTAATTTGTACAAAGCAAGTGCTTTGAGCCTCTAACCTTGCACATTCTTCAATTGCACTAATCTATATAACACGTCATTGCCCAAAGTTAACCTCATGAGAAACATTCTTTGGTCAAATTCCTTTCCAGTTCAAGAGCCTGAAAAATTTGATCTTTGAATAGCAATGTCCACCCTAAGCTCTCAGATTAAGATGAAATAGCAGCTAAGTTACTTGCTCTCAAGAAAGCGAAACTGCAAAAGAAACACTAGCAGAAACCAGTCACAATACTGTAGCAAATCCATCTTCACCCCTGTATCAGGCTGGATAAATCTGAGTCATTTTATTGGCTTTTTATTTTTTATTCATACAACTAGCTTTAGAAATACATGCGTTACGGTTCATACAACTAGATTGAGAAAGGTTGCGGTCGCAGTACCCATCGAAAAAATATCTTCTCTCTCCTTCAGAACGAATAAACAACAATCGGACCCCCTTGAGCCGATTTCCTTATTTGGACCTCAATTTCCACGATTAGCTTTCACCCTCTCAAGGTTTCTCATCCTCTTCACGACTAAATCACTGCAGCCTGTGGTTTGAACCATTGACCTGCACTTGAGAAGGGGAAAGGAACAATGGCTCACTTCCACACTATCTTAAGTCGTGTATGCCATGCACTTCGTCAAACTCACCCGTATAATTGCCACATAAGCTCAGTCTATGATCAGTGGCGTTTAAAACAGCAGATTTTTACAGATTCAGGTGTTAGATAAAATTCGTGAAGTTGAGGTGCTGAGGGTGAAGTTCAGCACCTGTGCTACTACGAGTATCTATTTGAGAATTAAGCCTGTGAATATTGTTCTAAACAAAAGTTTCAGTATCGTTTCTCCTTTCATATTGAAATTTGAAACTCTCAAGTTCAAATTAACTTTAAGGATTCAATTTCTTCGTTTCCATTCGATGATTCACTAGGATATGGACTATTAGTTTTCCTCTGGATATTCTAGGCTAAGTATGCTACAGCTGGAGCTCCCAGGGTTCTGATCTAGTTATAAGAGTGCAGTGCCTGATGTGCGAGTTAGGCACATATCACGGATTCGAACGCTGCCGCAGTCAAAAGCAGGGTATTTAACTGGAGAAGGGTAGAGGGACGGCCGATTATCCCCCAAGTTTCGAACCGTGCGCCACGACTCGGCGATTTCGTTGTTATCAAAAAAAAAAGTATGCTACAGTTAGAACATAGGGACCAATAAAAACGTTCATCAACACATAGGGATAGAAACCATAATTCATGTTAATGAGCATTCTCAACTCACACCTCCTCTAGTGACTCCCAGTAGAGAAAGCCTACATTTCATGATACAGATTGGAAGGAAATTAGGGATTGTCATAGGTTCTTTCACCTATCCAGAGTTTTGGAAATTAGCAATATTTTTCCCTTTTTTTTTTCCTGATCATTGGAAGCAATCTTCACAACTTTCTCCTACAATAGTAACTAAAAATGAGTTTATGAAGCTTCAAGTAGTGAGGAATAGGCTAATTATTAGACTACTCTGAATAAGTTGATTGCTAGAGACAAAGAACGAGTCAGCCTAGGTCTGCAAGCCTTGCTGTAATAGGGTGTATGTATATGCACACACATCAATCTTTTCATCCTTTAATGTCCAATCACGACATAAAGCTGCATCTTCTTTGTGATTTAAAATTTTGGATTTTCGTCTGAGAGCTAAATTTTCTGTTGTTTTCATCAGTGTTCCTCTCAATTGTGTTTCAGGGTGTTGACTGATAGTTAAACTTTTTGTTTCTTTTAAAGAAGTGGCGAACGTTCTCTCCTGGGGGATCTCTTCGGCCTTCTATCAGCTATGTGTTATGGGCTGTTCACTGGTTAGGCTTCTTCATTATGTCTTGATACGAAAGTGCTTACTGTATAATATGACAGATGAATAATGTTTTCTGATAATGATCTGCAGTGCTTCTTAAAAAGTTTGCTGGCGAGGAAGGAAAAGGAGTAGATATGCAAAAATTGTTCGGTTATATAGGGTTGTGTACCCTTGTGACCATGTGGTGGCTTGGTAAGATTTGATTCTCTTAAACTAATGCTTAGTTGTTGCTGATTTGTAGGGTTATATAACAAGCAGTCTCCTCAATTTGCACTTTGGCATGCTTTGTCAGCAGTCTTGTGAAAATAGTTCTGTCTCCAAGTTTTTAACAGGTTTTAGGTTGAGAGTAAAACATGTTTAAGTTTGTAAAGTAGATATGTTGCAATATGATGAGACTCCCATATAGTTTGTCTGTCATCTTATGAAAATCTAATAAAGACAGCTATGATCTTAGCCGTTTTATTATCAGATAAGTCATGCTGAGATAGGCTAGGATATAGGACAATGACTTACTGTCTGTATTTTCTCAAACTCAAGCTGTGATCTTCTGGCAACAGTATGTCTTAAATATCACTTGGGCAGGTAAATCTAGACAAATGCAAGTTGTGAAGTCACATTGGTTTTATTGATTACTTCTATCGTTGTTTGATCAATTTAACTCCAAAGCTATTGAATTTATTATACTGTGTGTAAGTTGATAAATTTGTAGTCAGACACTTCCTTTAACGTGTTGATTTTGCAATTTAAATGGTGACTAGTTTTAGTGGGCTTGACTTAGTGTATGATGCTGGATACTCTTCCTTTCCATTACTTGCATGTGTTGTCAACATTTTTTTCTTTGTGAAAAATGATTAAGAGAATGGGCTAGCCGCTATAATACCTCACGTTTCCAATTGCCAGTATCAGGTAGGACTCGTGGCAGCAAAAAAGGGTAGGGATTCGTTGAAATGGATTTCATACTCTCTTTTTAATCTCTTGTTTGTTGCTGTTCTTCACTTCGAAATTATTTCTCGATATGTTCAGTTAATGAAATCTCAGATTAGAGTGCATATGTATGTACCAAGGATTGTTATTAATGTCATTAAAGTTACTCTTTTTCTGAGTCTGCTACTTGCTAAAAAAGTATGTTATATAACAGTCGGATGGGAGATTCAAAATTGGAAGAGTAGATGTTTTGAAGTCTGATAACATATAAGATCAATGACTTGATAGATTGTTTTTCCCACTGCATTCACAAAGAAGCAATGCAATTATGCATTTATGCATCTTCTTAATATGTTATTAGAGAAAGCTAATGGACAAGTTGGTTAATTTAATTTATTCACTATGTGAAAATCATGATAATTCAAACTCAACTTTGTTCTTCTGTATTATTTGATCGATGTCTTTATAATCTAATTTATGATCAACTTTTTTCTTTCAGTATGGCCATTGACAGCCCTAGGTATTGAACCCAAGTTCACAATACCTCATTCTGCTAAATTGGATGAAGTTGTTTTGGCCAATGGACTTGTAGGAAGTGTTCTCTCGGATTACTTTTGGTACGTAAGATCGGATTATCCACCACTAGTACATGCTCTTACCGTATGGCTTTGTCAATTGTACCCTTAACTTGCTTTTCTTCTTCTTAGGGCACTGTGTGTTGTTTGGACAACTCCATTAGTTGCAACCTTGGGCATGTCTCTCACAATTCCACTTGCGATGGTGGCTGACATGGTGATTCATGGACGTCATTATTCTGCTATTTACATTCTTGGCTCAGCACAGGTAACAATCTATTAATGCAGACAAGAAAACTTGATTCTAGCCCTACAACAACAACAACAAACCCAGTTTAATCCCATACATGAGGTCTGGGAGGGGTAGTGTGTACGTAGTCTTACCCCTATCCTATAAAGGCGGAGAGGCTGTTTCCGATAGACCCTCGGCTAAAGAAACTGTAAGAATAAAGCAACAAGCAATAACAACAGTAATATAATAAGTAATGGAAGCGAGTAACATAACAAAGTAATAAAGATGTTCCATAAAATGAATATGATGTATTGTCAAACAGAAGATGAGACTATGAGAATTGAGGAATATGAATTACATTAATCTGATATTATTTGATTAAAAAACAAGGACATTTTAAGGCTCTGAAGTGATAAGAGAAAAATAATCTCATTATTAAATTTGCATTTTAAAATTCATAGGTGAATTGGTTGGAGTTTTTCTCAGCCTAAGTCACATTTACTAGAATCTTATGACTCGAATGTGGTCCGTTTGTTACTTTTATTAAGTCCTCAAATTGCAAATCTGGTAGCAGAATGAGGGGTTTTCTTTATTTACTTAAACTTTGAGCTGAGATTCTTTTCTGTCTATCCTTTCTTAAGTTAACCACTGTGGTGTAGCTGGAAAAGTCTCATCTTGTAGTTGTATTGATAAGCCGAGATGCTATACCTGTTAAAGTTGAGTATTCCGTAATCTGACTAAGAAAATGGAGCAGAAAAAAAAATCCCATATTGTAGGTGGAGTCTTTCCTTTATGATTAGTCCAACTCTTTTTGTTTGGAGTGCTCAAATGACTACCTTTTGGCTGATTTTCTATTTTTAAGGAGGCACCGCTAATCGATTGATCCACAGGCAAAACATGATATGGCTTGGTTGATGCATCTTTTTGCAGGTATTTGCAGGATTTGTAATAGCTAATATATCAGACCGGATTTCAAAACTTATGGGACTATAACATTTGCTGGAATTCCCTTGGCTCAATACAGAGATCCCTTCATCTTTTATTAGTACCACTTCCTGCTTCATTGTTCAAGAAAAGGTGGAGTTATCGGACAGTTGAATATAGGCGTTGGATTGATATGTACCGATACATGCCTATGGCATATAAAAGAGGCGAAAAGATAGCCACTATACTACTGGTGTTTGAGACTGCAAAAAATTGAATAACAATGTATTCATTGTTGTCCTACATCTTAAGCTTTTGATCTCCAAATGTTTTTTTTTCCCTTTTGATAGTTGTTTCTCAAGTTGTCATTTTTTATGCAATGTAAATATTGAGTGGTAAGATAATGTTTGTTCAATTCAATACTGCTCTTCATCGCCCAACAGTCAGCTTATACAACACAAGTAGTTATATGCACAATTTGCTCTTCAAAGACATTTTTCTTTTAACTGGTCTCTTTCATAAACAAGACAGACTGTTTTCCTGTTCTCAATATTGTTCTTTAGGTTTGGGGTTGATTGTTTTGTCCTTATACATTTTACTTAATTTTGTCCTTACATAATCCTAGAATGTATATTGCCTTTAGAGCTGTCATTATGGGTTGGCCCGGGTTAGTCCAGCCCTGCCCACGTGGGCTTTTGCAATTGACGGGTTTGGCTGGACTAGCCCGTCATTTTGATGGACCTTATAATGGTTAGCCAATCCCAGCCCTATATGGGTTGCGGGCCTCCACGGGCTGGCCCATCATTTTTTAAATTACAATTTTATATTTTTTCTTTAACTACTAACCTAAAAAAAGATAAAAGTTAAAAAATATCTTATTGGAAAAATCTCGCAAACCTTAATAACTTTTTATATTGTTCCAAAATATCACAATAAACACTAAAAAAAAGTAAAAGATAAGACTATATTTCATTCACTAAAAGTCTAAAGTCAAAACAAATGTTACATCTTGCGTTTTCATACGTTAAAAGTTTCGTCTTCAGTCAGTCGATGTAGACTCGAGGATAAGATTATCTTGAGGTTAATGTATTTATGCTATTTATAACAAGCGAGAAGTAAGTGTCACGAAGGATAAAGGGTATACGAATTAAAGAAAACGAGTTTCGTTGAAAATGGCCAATTTGAGATAAAATACGAGTCGAGCGGTGTTTCAAGCGATAATACCCGATAATTATAAACTAGTACAATGCAAGGTACCATATGAACACGGTAGTATAAGGTATAAAATATATACAAAATATATTAACAATAAGTAGAATTTTAAGTAATTTGAGGTAATTTTTAAGTTATGCGGGTAATTGATTAATTACCTGGTAGCAAAACATTATCTAGTTAATTATTAAATTATAAAATGATACGTGGCAGCAAGGAAAGCATATGACTAGTTAGTCATATAGGATAGTGGCATCAACGTGTATAACTTTCAAATGACCAAAGATATGTATCAAGATTTGGTCCCTTTTAATTACATCTCCTTTAAGAGATGGATAACACTTTAGAGAACAACAAAACCAAGTCTTGCCTCCTCATTTCATTCTTAATAACAGTAGCAGAAGCTAAGTTCGATTCAAGGAATTCAAAAAAAGAACAGAAGCTAATCTCGTTCAACAAATTCAAAACGTAGACGCTTAATCCGGTTTTTGTGGTTCTAAGTTCAATCCACGAAGGTTTCCAACGGAATATTATACGGAGTTTTTCTTACTCTAGGTCTGTTAAGATTATCCCTTCTTTCTTTTGGCATGGTTCAAATTATACAAAAGAAACGAGCAAACGCACACTTTCCATAAATTATTCTATTCATAGAAATACTAGGGGTGTCTATATTCTTGATTCCCCATGAGAATTATTATTATCTTTTGTTCATGGGTCTCAGAATAATACGCAGTTGAAAAAGGTTATCCGGAAGGAATATTGAGATTATTACGTATTTTTCATGCATTTCACCCATTTATACAAGTGCATTGACCCATGAGCAGATGGCGTTATATACGCGTATATATATAAATATATGTATATGGAATATGGGAAAAGGTTACGGTGTTATATACGCACCACCACCTGATCAGTTGGTATATGTTGATGATGTTGCCCACAGTGGCCGAGACGATATGATGGGATGCCTTCAGTGGTTTGATGATATTATGTACAACCATACCTATGCATGAATAACATTTATACGCATGTGCATGACATTATAAATGTTTCAGAATTTACAAAGTTATTCAGATTTAAAGATGTGTTTCTTTATTCCACGTTTCATCTATTCTTTTACGTAATAATTTTCATGCCTTACATGCTCCGTACATTTTTCGTACTGACGCCCTATTTCACGGGCCTGCGTTTCATGCACGCAGGTGCAGGTAGCCAAGCTGACGGTCCCCCTTCTTAAGATCTCTAATCAACGAGAGTTAGCATGCTCCACTTGACCCGGAGCTGCTTTTGATTTTGGTATGATACGTTTGTGTGTGTATATATATATATATATATATATATATAATACATGTATGACGTGGCTTAGTCCCGTCTTTGTACAGTTATATTTGTATTAGAGGTCTGTAGACAGTATGTCTAGTTGGGTTGTATGTGGCCTTGCCGGATTTCAGCTTTTGGATATATAGTTGTCTAAAGCAGCCTTACCGGCTCGCTCACTGTATTCTGCATGTATATGTACATATGCCTTGTTGGCAGGTTTCCTTCATGTATGTTATTTTCGTAAATCAATAGGTGTTATTCAGGTTCATACCTTAGACGCATGCTCAGGGGTGTTTGACAGGTAGGACTCAGGCACCCGTCGCGGCCTATCGGTTTGGGTCGTGACAAAAGTGGTATTAGAGCAGTTCTGTCATAGGGTTGTCTACAGACCGTTTCAGAGTCTTGTTTATGGGTGTGTTGTGCACATCACTTATAGACAGGAGGCTACAAGACATATAGGATGTTATCCTCTTTTTATCTCAGATCGTGCGATACAAGAATTCATGTTCCTAACGATACGTTATATTTTTCAGCAATGCCTTCAAAGAGTACGGCCACCCAGAAGGGAAAGTCCGTGGCTGGTAAAACTACTAGTCGAGCACCACGAGTTACCAGGGCTCGGGGAGAGTCTCATGGTGAGGTTCCATCTCAGACTTCATAAAGCCCGCCCTTTCCAGAAGAGCTCCAAGGGACACCAGCTCCAGCGCCCGTCCCTATACATTCAGCACCTTAGTCGGATGCACCGGGTCAGGAGATGAGAGATGCTATTTAGCTATTAACCCGATTAGTAGTCGCACAAGCTCGGTGTCATGAAATAGGTATTGGTCATGCAGATAGGTCCGTCAGTGCGAGGGTTCGTGACTTCATTAGTTTAGACCCTACGGTATTCACTGGAGCAGATCCAAACAAGGACCCTCAGATATTTATTGATAGAGTGTAGAGGACGTTACGGGTAATGAAGGCCACTACGACTGAGTCAGTTGAGCTAGCTTCCTATAGACTCCGAGATGTTGCAGTTGATTGATACGAGTCTTGGGAATTGTCCAGAGGTGAGGATGCCCTTCTAGCAGTATGGCAGGAGTTTACAGAAGCTTTTCTTTGTCATTATCTGCCACCAGAGCTTAGGCGAGCCAGAGTTGATAGGTTCTTGACCCTTCGACAGGGTAATATGAGTGTTTGGGAGTACAACCTTCAGTTTGATTCGATGGCTAGGTATGCTCCCACTATTGTATCTAAGACGGAGGATCGGGTTCGCCGGTTCATGATGGGATTAGAGCCTCACTTGCTTAACGATTGTATGTCAGTCTCACTTCAGCCAGACATGGATATTTATCATATTCAGGCATACGCTTAGGGTGTAAAGGAGCGTAAACAGAAACAGAGGGCCGATCGTGAGCATGATAGGGCCCAGAATAAGAGAGAGAGGTCTTCGGGTCCTTCTGGTGAGTTTCGAGGTGGTCAAAGGTAGCAGTACCCGAGGTATCCAGACCAGCCATCGGCTAGCGTTCCCCCTTAGTTTGGCGGTAAGAGATTTGATCGTTCCTCATATTCAGGGTCCGGTCAGAATTTCAGGGCCTCAGGTTCTCAGTATAGGGGTGAGTCAAATCAGATGAAGACGCCCTTGCCACGATGTGCTCAATGTGGTAAGCAGCATACAGGGCAGTACCGCATGAGATTAGGTGTTTGTTATACTTATGGTTATCCGGGCCACGTTATGAGGGATTGTCCGATGAGATGTGATGCAAGCATAGATCAACCAATGGGATCTGTACCTGGTTCGTCATCATTAGTACGCCCCCCTAGGCAAGGTCCACAAGAACCAATGAGTCATGGTAGAGGCAGAGGTGGAATTCTAGCTCGAGCAGTCCTCAGAACCACATTTATGCGTTGGCAGGACGACATGACCAAGAGTCATTGCTTGATGTTGTTACAGGAATATTATCAGTCTCCTCATATGATGTATATGCACTGATTGATCCAGGTTCCACCTTATCATACGTTACTCCGTTGGTTGCTAGTAAGTTTGAAATAAAACCTGAATTGGTTAAACATTTTGAGATGTCTACACCTGTTGGGGACTCGGTGATAGCTAAGCAAGTATATAGGGGTTGTATAATAGTAGTTCATGGTCGATCTACCGTACCAGACCTAATTGAGTTAGATATGGCAGAATTTGATGTTATAATGGGTATGGATTGGTTGGCTTCTTGTCATGCCAACGTTGATTGTGGATGAAAGATAGTCCAATTTCAATTCCAGGGGAGCCTGTTTTGGAGTGGAAAGATAATACGGTGTCGCCGAGGTAGATTTATTTCCTATCTTAAGGCAAGGAAGATGATCAATAAGGGTCGTATTTATCACTTAGTTCAGGTTTATGATATGGAAGTAGAGTCACCAACCATTCAGTCCATCCCAGTGGTTAATGAGTTTCCCGATATTTTTCCCGATGAACTTCTGGGTCTCCCGCCAGAGCGAGAAATTGAGTTTGCTATTGACCTACTACCAGATACGCATCTAATATCTATTCCTCCCTATCAAATGACCCCAGCAGAGTTGAAAGAGTTGAAAGAACAACTAAAGGACTTGCTTCAAAAAGGCTTTATCAGACCCAACATATCACCATGGGGAGCACCTGTGTTATTTGTGAGGAAGAAAGATGGTTCCTTACAGATATCTATTGATTATAGACAGTTGAATAAGGTAACGATCAAGAATAAGTACCCGCTTCCGAGGATTGACGATTTATTTGATCAATTGCAAGGTACCAAGTGTTTTTCAAAAATAGACTTGAGGTCTGGGTACCATCAAGTAATGGTTAGGGAGGAAGATATTCCGAAGACAGCATTTAGAACCAGATACGGACACTTCGAGTTTTGTGTTATGTCATTCGGTTTGACCAATGCCCCAGCAGTATTCGTGGATTTGATAAACCGTGTGTTCAA